TTTGTCTATACAATAACGTTCAGGTTCAGTCGGATTGGTCCTCTACCTGTGGTTTTCATGTTTTATTTTATCTTTATCGTCGTGTGCAAGGGTTTTCCATGTTAAATAGTCTTCAAATGTTAAATGAATATTCTCCTGATGATTTTGTACGTGATTATGTTTTTGCGAAAATGAAGGGAAAAAAATTCTTGTCAAAAATATGAAATGAATAATGTAGTAATGAAAGAAATCTTTGATTCTGGACACCGACGTTTCCGGAGATGAGGAACCGGAGACCTGTGTCTCCGGGGATCTTAGTCTCCGGGGACCTTAGTCTCCGGAGACTTGGATACCGGAAACCTACGTCTCCGGGGACCAAGGTCTCCGGAGGACATGGTTCCCGCGCGCGCGCCCCCTCCTCGGGGAAGGATTCATATGTAAGAATTTTTTTTCATATTTAAAAAGAAAAATTGAAAATATATGTGTTGTGATTATTGATGTTGTAAAATGTAGATGATAGATATGTATGTGTCTTATGAATAAAATTACGTGTAAAATTAAAAATCAAATTCTGTCATGCGTGATGATTCCTCATAAATTCAATCTGTTTGATTCAAAAATCATCATTTCATCACCTGACGTCGATTGGTTAAGAATGAAGTTTAAGACTCCGACCTCATTTGCAGTCATAGGTGGAACCATGTCTGGAAAGACACATTTGGTATGGAAAATATTGAAAAATGGTTCTGAAATGTTTGATATTCCACCTAAAAAAATAATGTATTGTTACATGGAAGATCAAGAAATCGTGGAAGACATGAAATCTTCCTTACCCGACTTCGACACGTATAAAGGCCTACCTAGCAGAGAGGAAGTCAAAGAGTGGTCTGAGGAGTGTCCTCACACGGCCATCATTCTAGACGACATGATTCATTTAGTGACAAAGAGTTCAGATGCCCTTCATCTCTTTCAGACAATGGTGTCACATTCCAAATTGACGGTATTTTTACTGTCTCAGAACCTGTACCCTCCTGGGGTTTATGCCAAGAGTATTTTACTAAATTGTCAACATGTTATTTTATTTAAAAACATGTATTTTTTTTAATAACATCTTGAATAAATATATGATGTTACAGTTGTAGTCTGAATTTCTTCTCTTTTTTATTTCACTTATCAAAGAGCATCAAGTTTGTTACCAAAAAAAATATTCAGGATTGAAATTAATCTATTTTTTCCGTTTGGTTAAAATGTCAACCATGCGGCTTTCTTCTTATTGGATGTACGCATGCCCGGTGGTGATAATGCCTTCCGCTTTCTACTTCCCACGTAAATTAAACCAGATCCAGTTTGTTGAGTCTCGTTATTTTCTTCCTTTTCTTTCGGTATTACGGAGAGCGTCTCTTCGGTATTAACACCTTGATCACGAGTCATTTTTTTCTCTTCTTCATTCTGTTTCTCCTTCATCCGTTCGTAAGTCGTCTTTTTCACGAGAGATATTCCTCCGCCATCCTCTTTAAAGTATGGCTTGAGAATCAAAGGTATCACTTGATCGTTTTTCTGTAGTAACCGTTTGATATGGTTGTTGTTCAATCCACGATCACAGAGAGACTGTATGATATTCTTGTGAATGAACAGTTTTGTTCGATAATAACCGGAAATGACAATCTGTCCCATGTAGAGATTAAGAGTTATTTCCCTGAAGGCATTCATTTGCTCTTCGGTGGCCAACTCGATGATCTTTTTCCTTTGCGTTTTTTCGGCAGTAAATAAAAATTGAAGAAAAGCCTTTTGACGTCTGATTCTTTGTGACATGATGACGTAAATGACAGAGACTCCCAATCGCCTCAAGTATTTATTTCGGTCGATAAACTACAGTTTCCCCTTCCTCTGGTAAGATATTGGTTCGAACTCGTCTCTCCTCTGGACAGTGATTGGTCAAATCTATCAAAATATAACCGTAAGGACGGCCCACGGCTTTTGCATAAGCGTCCATCCAAAACTTTGAACGACCCGTAAATACTTGACTTCCAAAGGTAATAATCTGTCGATTATCCCTCACGTTTTTAAATAAAATAACATGTTGACAATTTAGTAAAATACTCTTGGCATAAACCCCAGGAGGGTACAGGTTCTGAGACAGTAAAAATACCGTCAATTTGGAATGTGACACCATTGTCTGAAAGAGATGAAGGGCATCTGAACTCTTGGTCACTAAATGAATCATGTCGTCTAGAATGATGGCCGTGTGAGGACACTCCTCAGACCACTCTTTGACTTCCTCTCTGCTAGGTAGGCCTTTATACGTGTCGAAGTCGGGTAAAGAAGATTTCATGTCTTCCACGATTTCTTGATCTTCCATGTAACAATACATTATTTTTTTAGGTGGAATATCAAACATTTCAGAACCATTTTTCAATATTTTCCATACCAAATGTGTCTTTCCAGACATGGTTCCACCTATGACTGCAAATGAGGTCGGAGTCTTAAACTTCATTCTTAACCAATCGACGTCAGGTGATGAAATGATGATTTTTGAATCAAACAGATTGAATTTATGAGGAATCATCACGCATGACAGAATTTGATTTTTAATTTTACACGTAATTTTATTCATAAGACACATACATATCTATCATCTACATTTTACAACATCAATAATCACAACACATATATTTTCAATTTTTCTTTTTAAATATGAAAAAAAAATTCTTACATATGAATCCTCCCCCGAGGAGGGGGCGCGCGCGCGGGAACCATGTCCTCCGGAGACTTTGGTCCCCGGAGACGTAGGTTTCCGGTATCCAAGTCTCCGGAGACTAAGGTCCCCGGAGACTAAGATCCCCGGAGACACAGGTCTCCGGTTCCTCATCTCCGGAAACGTCGGTGTCCAGAATCAAAGATTTCTTTCATTACTACATTATTCATTTCATATTTTTCGCAAAAACATAATCACGTACAAAATCATCAGGAGAATATTCATTTAACATTTGAAGACTATTTAACATGGAAAACCCTTGCACACGACGATAAAGATAAAATAAAACATGAAAACCACAGGTAGAGGACCAATCCGACTGAACCTGAACGTTATTGTATAGACAAACAAAGGTATTTTTATCAATAAATTCCCTCAGACGAATGTCATAATCTCCAGGTAATTTTCCAAAACTGTCATAAAATTCACATTCAGTTTCGTTTTTAAACCAAAATGCAATCCAGTGAGAACCTTTTTCTTCCATGGGGTCGGTGTTGCAGATGAAAGCGGAGGGAAACTGTGAGACTTTCATCGGTAAGGTGTTTGAAGCATAGATTCCACGAAATTTTGTTTCTAATTATTAGACAATTAAATGGTTTCTTCGTTCAAAGTTTTTTTTTTTTTTACAGCTGTCTAATCTCTCTGGTATGATCGATCAAGAGGAGTCCGGGACATTCACAGTAGGCAATGGCACTAATAGTCACTGTAGTGGGCTTTGAAAAGCGTGCATAAACTCCGACGTTCCCTTGATGCACTAGGTTTATATACCCGTCTCCGAGGTCGGTGGGGACGAGATCAAAGGCGTATATGGCATAACCCTCTGCAAATCTCTCTCGATCGATGATAAGACTTTCGTCTTAGCATCCGGGTCCCCCAAACCTTCTCCGTCGGGCCAGAATAACTGAGTCTGCATCTGAGATTTCGATGTTTCTATTCCAGTAGACAGCAGTACTTTAAGGTAAGCTTTCCATGGGTAATTGTTGGCATTGTGAGAGACGCATTTTCCATTCATGTAGACATCGATTTGAGAGAACAGAGCTTGAAGAGGTAAATTGACGATACCCGTCTTTTCCGAAGCGGCCAGAGCCGTACCATCCGCCTTAGTGATTTTGGCTTTGAGGTAAAGTCGACTCTTTCTGAGATCTAGGTATTCTCCACCATTTCCAGGAACGGAAAATTCCAGGGGCGCGAATTCCGAATCAAAAGACGAGATGGGACGTGTTTCCTGGAAATAAATTTTGTGAACCGCCACTTGATTGGGAGGATCAGAAAAGAGAGCCAGTTCGGAAGGTTCAGCCATTGTCGTATTCAGTTCACTTAAGTAAGCCATGATTCCTAAAAGATCGGTGTCCCCTTTTGTTTTGCTTTTTTCTTGTTAGAAGCCTTGGACTTCTTTTTCAATGTTTTCTTTTTGGAACTCTTTAGTTTCTTTTTTAACTTCTTGATCCTTTCTCGACCTTGCTTCTTTTTTTTCTTAAAGCGTCCTTTTCGTTTTGAGGTTGCTGAGCGTCTGGCAGATTTCTGTTTCTTTTTCCTATTTATACCCGTCTTGACTGGCATGTGAGGTTCGTCGTTACGCATGGTTTCTTTCAATTCAGACAGGGCCCTCTCTTGTTCGGCCGCTACTGGCGACACCTCTTGAACTTCTTGTTTTGGTGACAAAGAGGTAGGTCGGACGGGGATCATGTACGCCCTTCTTCTGTTTAGTATGCCACCACCCCTCTGCGTTTTTCGTCGAATTAAGGGGATGAAGTTTTCACCTTTATCGGTGTGCTGAAATTGCTCCCACACAGCCGGATTAGAAATATAAGTCGGTCCAGACATTATTTTCACATTCGTCGAAACACGAGCGTCAACGTTGATTCTCCAACTAAAAATGAAGCGTCTCGATCGTTTTTATCCTTTATATAGACATGGAGATCTGTAAGATCATTGATGCGCAAAGGCACTCGATAAGGTCGAAGAAAAATAATATTTTTTGTATCCTCTACATAAATGCGTCTTAGAAGTGGTAATTGGCGCTCACCGACTATCGTATCGTCACAAATCGAACAATAGACGAATATTTCCTTATTTGATTCATTGCCAATATCGTCGTTGCAAAATTCCGTCATCTCTACTGACCACTCCCCCGTCAGAGGTAAAGATCTGGGAAGACGAACTCTAAAATTCGAGGGTTTATTATCGGGTTGGATGGACTTACTGTCCGAAGATTTGAGAACCATCCTCAGCGACATCTCTCTTGTTAATGAAAGAACTTTGTCATTCAAGTGTCTTTTACGTCAGTCTCTGGAATCCAACTGTCAAATTTCTTTGGCCATCCCAGCCATCGGATTAACACTTCCGATTTTCCGCGAATTTTTCGCTTTTTAAGAATCTTTTCGATTCTCCAAGTGGTCTGTTCGTTCTTTGACACTTTCTGTAGTTCACTCGCATAAAAACTACCTTTAATAGGCTCGTCCATCATATCCTTTATCTTGTAAATGGGAATACCTTGTGAGACGAAACGTTGATCGACGACAAAGATTTCTTCGGTGTAAGTCTGATCGTAATCGCGTTGAAACTGACGTCTCAGATGAGTAATACGTACTTGATCACCCACCTTAAAAGTAAAGGGGGTACGCTTTCGTTTAGAAGACTTCTTGATCTTTGTTCTCTTATGTTGCGTGTTTTGTCTGGCCAGGTAAGCGTCCAGTCTCACTTCGGCTTCATTTTCTTTATTGACAGAGGCAGGAGTTCTTCCGTTCAAGGAACGATTCGGTGTATTATTTATAGACGTGACCACGTCTTGTAGAACGTTCATATACTCATGTCTTTGTTTGAAAGTAAAATGTCTGTACAACCTCTTTTTTAAAGTCTGTATGTACCGCTCGGCAAAATTAGCCTTGGTCTCGTTCAATGCATAAAATATCTTGATGCTTTTCTCTTTTAAATACTGTTTCAGGTACCTGTTATAGAATTCCGTACCCTTGTCGGTGCGTAGGGCTTTGGGACGACGTGAACCTGCCAATATGTCTTTAAAAGCGTCAATGACTGTTTTGGCTTTCTTATCTTTCAATGTTCTCACCCATAAAAATCGAGAAAATACGTCCACTATTACCAACAGATATTTGATTCCGTCGTTGTGCTTTGATAGATTTTGTACGTCGGCCAAGTCAGCTTCCCATTGGTAGTCTATACCTTGTACTATCACTCGTCTTCTTTTAAATCCTCTTCGTCTTACTCTTTTTTGCAATGAATAAGCGTCTTGGTTTTGTAGAAATTTCTTGATTCGATGTAAACCAATTTTAAATTTTCCCTCTCTTTTAACTATTTCATACAACTTGGAAGGACCGGCAAAAGATCCTGGGTGACGTGGATCGTACCATATTCCTTTTAAGTATTCTTCCATCGTTTTAGTCATTACCAGTGTCAAATCGATTCTGATCAATTATTATCGTGTTCATTCTTTTTATACTCGAAATGTCTCGCTTTGTTTCTTTTTTTTTCACCCCCTTTTGTAATATACGAACATAATAAATCTCTCAAACAATGAAAAACAACTGTATTTAAGATTCGTCGACTTTATTTGTATTTCAACTTTGTCATGTTACGTGTAATAAAGAAAAAAATAGACAGACAAATCATATTTATAAGAGTCACAACAGAATGAAACTGAAAGCGATAAAGTCTCACTGCAGTTCTTTTTCATCTCCCACCATCTTGGCATAGATACAATTTTTTGACCACCGAAGATGTTCCTTGTAAGCATCGTGTAAAGGTTCCCAGTTCTTCAGAATTATTCCACAGTAAAAACAGGTGACTTTATCTCCGATTCGAGTATAAATGAAACCTGCTCGTGCCAAGTCCCCTTTGCTCGGTCCTTTTAAAAACTTTGGCCAGTCAAAGAAAGTTGTAAGTCGATCCGTAAAATGAACATATTCTGGGTGATTACATTCCCCACCTTCTGTCGGTGATAAAAAAGTAGGTGTTATGTCTTTAACGGATCGAGTTGAACATTTGGATCTGAACCGTTCGGTCTTTTCCCCTTTCAGTGGGTTTTTTTCATGGAATTCGAAACATTCCAACTGAAATTAGCATTAGAATCTATTTCCCAAGATGGTGGTGTACATTCAAAGAAATCCGTATCGTTAACCTTCCAGATATTATACAGATCAGAATCCGTTCCTAGAAGATTCGATCGGTCGTCTAGAGATGACATCTTGCTACAATGAGAGTCAGGAGTAATATGAAAAAAAAAAAACAAATAGTATCTTATTTAATAATCATGAAAAAAAGAAACTTTCATTCTTAATTATGATAGTGATAATCAAAATAAAAGAAATAAAATATATTCATCGTTTTTTTTTTTTTTAGTTAGGTAAGAAGTGATTCATGACTCCTCTCACAAGGAGTCTGTAATGTACAGACCGACATTGGAATGGCGTCCGCTTCTATCTCTTCTAAAGAAATGGTAGGCTCTCGTACCTCTCGACGCTTGAGATACCTCTTATTGAGATATTGTAGAGTTAACGATATAAATATAAAGATAGAAAACATCAGTGTAGACATAGGATTGATTTCCCAAGATGATGGTGGTAAACAAGTGAATGATTTCGTAACATTGACACTCCATGTGATGTTGGGACTGGCGTCTGTTTCCTGGAAACTGAGACTATTGTTTAAAGATGACATCTTCTCGCACTGAACTCCCAGAATAAAATGACGAACTAATCTATTTTGTCTCGGTGAGGTTTAAATGGTAAAAAAAAAAAAAATAAGAGAATTGTTTATTTTATTTCATGTCTCAAAAATATCTTTTCTTTCTTCTTGTTTTTTTTTTACAATGCTGATGATAACCAATCAAAATCAAGTTGATGGGGCTTGTGGTAGTTGGGGTGATTTCAATCATCGTCCGTTAGAATCAGATGTTCAATTGTGGGCGTGGTTTTGAAGGTCACGTGAGTATATCGTCTTTAAATTGTAATTAGTAGTGGGTACAAGCATCACTCTCTTTAGGATATAACAGTGTTAAAAAAAACATCATGGGAGACTTTCCAGACCCAACAGATCGTTATGAAATGAATACTTTTCGATTTCTACAACGAGGTGCCTGTGTAAAAAAACTTATCGATGACTATATCCTTCATCATTCCGATGAAACATCCTGTCGTTTTTGTCAAAAACAATATAATTTACGAAACCATTTGGTTCACGAGAAAGATTGCGTTGTGCGTCTGAACTTGGAAAGTGAACTGGACGACAAGAAAATGACTAGATTTTGGATTATGGCCCAAGACATTTTTTTCGACCAAGAAATGAGAAAAGGTAAAGCTTTGAGCATACAGGAAGTTCTTAAACTTGCTAGGACCGAAAGTATCTCGATAGAGACGTGGCAACAGGCTGACAGTGAATACTTTCATGATATATTATATTACAGAATAAATTTCGATGTGGATGAGACTCCTTATTACGAGGAACCCGATACTACAGAAGGATTTAAGAATCCATACATTCTTCAATAGATTTGGAAAAACAGGAGGACACAGGACAAAACAGCTTTTATTTGTTACTCAACAAGAACACTTTCGTAAGATTGGAACATTAATTATTAAAATTTCTTATAGTTAACATCTGGTAGGCTATGTCTATATTTTCTATAATTAATAATTCATTAAAACCTCGTTTTGGGTTTTCCACCAATCACATCATGTTTATTTTTCAATTTGGTCCAACCACAATAATTTTCCATGACGTCAATTTCTTCCTATGATAAAATCAAACGACAGAGCATCACGTCTCATCAGTTCAACTCTTACTTGAGAAGAAAGAAATACAATGTCTACTCGTTCAGTTCATCCTCTGGTAAATGGACGATACGTTAAGGTATCAGAGTGGAAGGGCGAACCCAGAGTGGATCTTAGACAATACGAACTATGCAACGGACGTGAAATACCAACGAAAAAGGGTATTAGTTTAAAGATGATTCAATTTAAGAATCTCTTATTCAAGATAGAGAACATTCAAGAAGCACTTCAGAAGAACGAAACACAGAGTTGGCATCTGGGCTACAACGTTTATGTACACGTAAGGGAAAACAATCCATGTGTGGATATACGGCAACATTGGAAACCCAGTAAAGATATAGACATTGTACCTACAAAAAAAGGTCTCTGTCTTAGACCCACCGAGTATACACTCTTTCGAGATATGTTACCAGACATCGAAAAACATTTACCAGAAATGAAAGATGTGGAATTGTGCATCGATCGTGATGACCACCAAAATCAGATGGGAATGTTGCGTTGTAGCATCTGTAATCCGGACGAATACATGAACTGGTAGGATTAATTGGAATGATGTTTTTCAAAAGTCTCGTTTATACTGTGTCTCGCCTGGAACATTTTTCGAGCCATCAACTTTTGTTTTGTCAGGAGTGATTTGTGTTTTTGTGTTTGCCTGTCTGTTTAAAAATTTTTTTTTTAATCAACTTTTACTGATGTAATTTTATATAACCTTCTTTGACATTTCTTCGTGTGAAAAAAAATGTGATTTTGAAATAATATAAATGACAAAAATTCCTAGCTTATTTTGTGTTTGTGTATCTGTATGTCTGTTTGTAATTTTTAGTGAACCTTTACTGATGTATAGTTTTATCTAAGTTAATAGAATTTAATTTTTTTTGTGTGTGTGCTATAAATGTAACGTTCTTTTCATATAAATAAAAAAAATAAAATGGAAAATCTGTTTTATGTCATATTCATATACAATGATCCTTAAAAGGACCTGAAAACATGGACAAAAGTGTATAAGTACAAGAGGAAATATTTAAAACCTAGTGATGATCATTCAAGAATATTTTTTCTTTAAAAAAAAAATGAAAGAAAAGACAAAGAGAATTTGTTTGTTCTTAAAAACTGGAGTCATTTCTTTTTAAAAGGAAAACAAATCAACAAAAACCGAAAAAAAAAAAACTCAAGTCGTATTTATCAGATCTTCTTTCTTACTCTCGTATGAGTATAACAATCCCAATAATTAGGAAAAACAAATCTTTAATTATCATTAATTTAAAAAAAAAAGACCTCAATTGTCGTATGGTGTTATATTACCCACTCTTTTTTATCGATTGGATCGGTCAGCCATTTTTTCTTCGTCTTCTATGTATAGGAATTCTTATTATTATCACTCATCTTCTTCATCAATTATTTACATTTAAAAAAAAAAAAAATATCCATTTACCAGCTGTTCTAATTAACACCTGTCCGATAATTACCTTTAATTAACTTCATTAATTATTCAAACAAATAACAATGAATATGAGTACCATTAATCGATTTTCCGATAATTCACCTTAATTAATTCATTAATTATGCAAATTAATAGTCATTAATTATGTATATTTGAGGGGTGGACAGACGCTTATACTACTAAAAACAAAAAACAAAAAATTTCCAAATGTGTAAAACCTTTGTCGGGAGGGGGGTTCCACCTCTTAAACATCATATATATGACGCTTCCTTTCAACTTACTAGGGACCCACGTTTTCGGGGGAGGGGGTGTCCAAAGTTTTTTTTTTTGGTTACCTATGCACATTCAATAACTGCAAATTCCGGACCCCCTCCTTCGACCCCCTCCATGTGCAGCCAGAAAATAAACACGCAAAAAGAAAAAAAATTCTCTGAAAAAATTTAAAATGCAAAGAAAGGGGGGGGGGTTACTTACCAAACTCAGCAATTCTCGAATGTGTGTGTGTGTGGGGGGGGGGGGGGGGGGGGTAGGAAGCGACTCGATCTCCTTTCAATTCAATTTATTGATTCACCAAACTTGTTGGTTCACAACTATATTATATACAGAATGAAAAGTACAATGTGTTATCAGATTACTAAAACACACACTAAAGTACATACGTAAGTATACAATTCGGTGAAGTCAACTATGTTTACAACTTTAAGTTTATACATAATCATTTGGCAAGCAGTATAATACGAACAGAGATAAATTGATCATATAATGTATTAGATAAGTTTAGAACGCAATTCAAAATATTTATGTAAAAAATTCACGTAGCCTTCTGGAATGCATGGAATGGACTGCATTGCCAGGATTACAAAATACTTTACAATGATTTTCCTTCAACATGATATCATCTAAATTACAGATGCTCAACAGCTCAAAGGATAATACTTTTTTCGTAAATCTTTATATGTAGGACATTCATACATGAAATGTATTTCATTTTCTACAACATTGACAGAAACGAGATTCTTCTGGGATACAATGCTTTGAATATCTGCCTTTTTCAATTTTACGGGTTTGCAGAAATTCTCAGTTTTGTTAATTTAGAACGTACAGGTTTAATAAGTAGTCCTGTAATTTCAACCAATTTGTAACATTTTTTGTGTATTAACTGATTAACGTGGGACAGTTTGACAGTACTGCAATAAAAAATGGCAAAGATGGGACAAACCGGTCTTTCATTGAAAATTTCCATCATAAATCGAGAGAAAAAGAATATACTAGGGGGAAATTGGGAACTTATATAATTACATTATAATTTGATGATTATTCAGTCGATCAGATTTATCTGAATAAAATAATCAGATAATGATAAAAATAAATTAATCGGGTGGGGGCTGATATGGGAGTTTCTTCCAATAGTTTAAATACATCAAGAAGGCAAAAATTGGATAGAAAATCAACAAAAATGAATCGAACAAATCTTAATTTAAAAAAGTATGCATGTATACGTATTGATAAATATCCATGTTGGTAAATATCTGTCGTATCAATTATTTATCATCTTCCATGGGATAGAATGTGTAGAAATTGCTTTCCTTATTCATTTAATTAAGAACATACTGTATATACGTACTTAACATAGAAGAAAAGTTTTTAAATATTTTAGATTGTACAAACAGATCTGGCTAGTACTTTCTTTACACCGGATAGGCCTCTTCGATTCTTGAAAGTTACCGCGCTCTTGTGGGTCTTCCTCTATAACCTTATTGTCATCTCCCTCGGGAGATGACACATTAAGTTTGAATCACCGGAAGTAAAGTCCTAGTGTAAGCTGCCATTGATAAACTGGTGGTCTGGCAAAGGAACTGACGATGACACGATTTCTAAATATAGAGATGTAAACAAAATTGACCAAAGTCTGTCTTATTATTATCAAACAAAATGGTCCATCTTAAAGTTAAAGTAAAACTACACCAGGGTTCATTAAGAGTAATAGAGGTAGGATCACTTGGGTGGTGGTGGGTCTTCATTAACGGCTTATATATATATACATAAACATTGTATCTAGGCTTTTGCGTAAAACGATGGTCAGCGCGCAGGGATCAAAATACACAAAACATGGCATATTGAATGTATAAGCCAAGGCGTGGATCCAAGATTTACTGACGAAAGAAAACAGTGAAAACATTTCAATAACAACTCACATTAAATGCATACATACAATGGCAAAAACTTTACTTTTATGTGCACTTTAGTCAATCGATAATTAATGCCGTATATATGAAAAATAAAACAAAACTTATTCAAAAAATAAATAAATAAATAAATAAATTTCGAAGAAAAGAAATTTTACCTAAAAGCACAATTTAGGCAGAAACATAAATGTCTCTGATTTAAGTAACTCGGTGCTGCAGGCATTGGAATAAAGATCATAAAGAATCATTATGAGTATATTCTCGGATGTGTGCACTATATTCTTTTTTATTTAAATTTACCCCTGTAGAAAAGTTTTAGGAAAAGATACAGTTTTCTTTTCCTGGCTCAGATTTTAAGAATTAATAAACAAAGCAACTGTTATCATTTTTCTTTATGCAATTCTAAAGGTAAAAAAAAATAACTCCTCGTATTCTTGAAATAAAGCTAAAATTATAAAATGTGTGTCTCATGGAACAGCCTATAATATCGATGTTGGTAGATTGGGGTTCTTTTCAGTGTGTAAATACTTAATTTTAAATGGCAACGTTTCAATTTTATTACCTTTCTATGCATGATTTTTTTTTCCCAGGAGCGTATACATGTACATGTACTTATATTATACACAATATAGCGTTAGAACATGAATCTGCATGGGCAGCAGAAGGGCATGAAGCAGGAGTTTTTCCCTTGATATTCCCAGTGGCTCGATGGCCAAGTCACTGCAGAGGATACGAATAAGGAAAATAAGGAGAGTCTTGGGAATTAATTCAGGTTCAGATTAATCTAAGTTGGCGCTTTAAAACTTCTTTGCTGCCGTAGTATGCGGCTAAGAACTAAAGTCAAAAGGAACGCTAATTTTTTATCCATCTTCTTTCGGAATAATTGTTAAAGCTATATATGGCGTATCTGAGCTAAAAAATAAAAATACGAGATTGGGTGTAGCTAAACATGATATATGTTATTTACGTTGAAATTAAATTTTTCACCGATTTTGAACTTGAATAACCTCATGTTTCCATAGTTCGACTGATTCAAAAAAATTTAAAACTGTGTCTGTTAATTAAAATCTGAATCGGTAAATAAATCGGTTATTGTTTTAAATTTCTAATATCTTTGAAACGTGATTGATTTAAATTGTGAAATTTACAGGAAAGTCCTATTTTTATATAAAGTAATAAAACAAATAGAAAGATCTTTTTAATTTAGGTAGTCTGAACTTATTAAAAAAAAAAAAACGCAATATTTGACTTCAAATAATTCTTACGAATATTTCTCAGTGGTTAGAATTTTTTTACAGACATTATACAAAATATATTTAAACTGAATAAAGCATATTTACAACAGGTAAAATAATACAGGCACATAGCACCAGGAGGGTCGTCCCCTTCCACTTTTTTCCCAAACATTGAAAAGGCGCACCCTTGACCCCTCTTCCACCTTTTGTTGCAGTATGGTACGTCAAATCATCCCATAAGAATGTATTATAATATAAAATATGGTTGTCGGAAAAGTTGTAATCCCTCCTTCCAAGAAATGAAAATGTTGAGTTTGGAAAGCCCCTTTTTCCCCTTGTCAAAGATTGTTCAGATAAATCGTCGATTTTTTCTTCGGTCCTCCACCCCCCATTTTTTTCAAAAGCGATACTACTGCCTGCATGTAATAGCTGAGAAAATAATATAACATTCCACTGTTTATTCTGTGACATTAATGAAGCCAAAGAGATGACATTTCAGGCTTTCTGGAAAGCCAAACTTGTATTCATTTTTATACAACAGTAATAGATCTATCTATGATAGCTTTGCGCCTTAGTGAAGTTTTCCACTTCCTGAAGTTTTCCACTTCACGAGCCTTCACATTCAAAGCAACACACTTTTACGTTTGGTTTTAAAATTTTCTTTCCTTATCAACTTCCGTTTGGCAAGCGGTAAATCTAGTCTTCCCGACTCCCGATGCCCGACTCCCGACTCTCCCGGATTTTGGTTTTTTGGTGATTTCTTTTTTATCGATGCACAGAAATTCTTTAAACTTTTCAGGCACCTTTTATAAATTTAAATGAATTCATTAATACATAAAAACCTTAATAAATTTACGTATTTAATACTGGATCAGCAGTATCACCTGCCAAAAAGCGGTAAATCTAGTACTCTGTTATAAATGCGAAAACCAAAGACGGACATTGCTGTTCTCGTAGAATCTCGATTAAATACAACAAATTGAAGCATAAATTTTTAAAGAAATAAGAAGAAAACCTCATTTACATGCCACTTAATTTGCATGTACAAAAAACCCACATTCCCCCCCCCTTTTTTTTCTTGTAGAACTTTGCCACAACATGTTTGTGTTCCCAGGCTCTACGACGTGAACGTGGTTCTACCTCAGAGCCCCCCCCCCTTTTTATTTTGATTTTTTTCTCTTCTTTTTCTTTCAAATGTGAATTAACTTTTTATTTAACTATTTTAAGTTTTTCCTTTCTTTTTTTTAACTATAGTTAATAATACAATCGTTTCTTTCTAAATTTAAAAGCTTTGTATCGGAAGAAATTTGTTACATGTATCTAGAACATTTTTTATGCAATATTCTATAATTTTCAATCTAATCAAAATATATTTTATATTTCATTTTAGCCACATCTTTTGGAAATAGTTTGCTTTTAAATTAATTATATGTTTACCTTAACGAAATGCAATAGATTTAAAAAAAAAAAAAAAAAAAAAACATGCATACGATTTATGAATCATCCAGCGGTATTCCCTGGCACAACCAAGTTACTATAAGCTTGGACTGTATATCTCTTCACTATGAACTGTATCAGATGATTAGGAATTTAATTATTTTTACCCAAGCTGACACTGCTAAAATATAGCTTTAGTTACTTAAGTGATAATTGTATTAAATAAATTTTCTATGATTAAAAATGTCTTAAGGAACCTGACTTTAAAATCACTTTGATGTTATGGATTATTATAGAATTAAAATGGGTTTTTTTTTAAATTGATAACACCATGCAATTATTCCCGCATGCACTGAAATACTAAATTCATCTTTTAGAGAAAAAATATCGTCCCAATTAATATCAATATTTTTTTGATTATCTATAATAATATCTACGAAACCTCACGTCTCCGTTATGTATCGATGTCCGTCTTTGGTTTTCGCATTTATAACAGAGTACTAGATTTACCGCTTTTTGGCAGGTGATACTGCTGATTCAGTATTAAATACGTAAATTTGTAAAGATTTTTATGTATTAATGAATTTATTTAAACTTAAAAAAAGTGCCTGGAAAGTTTGAAGAATTTCTGTGCATGATTAAAAAAGAAATCACCAAAAAACAAAAATCCGGGAGAGTCGGGAGTCGGGCGTCGGGAGTCGGGAAGACTAGATTTACCGCTTGCCCTTCCGTTTTAAGTTGGCGCGAAATGGACGTAAACAAATGTGTATATTTCAGCTTTATTTGACACACAAAATCTTCCTACATTATGGTAAGATGACAGATGTTGTAATTTATATATTGTACCGAGACAGCATTTTGTCACCCGATTAAGGTAGAGCGTGTTTTTGTTTCTAAATCAAATCACTCCTCACGAGAAAAAAAATCGAGTAAATTCGAACCAGTGTAATGTCGAAAGCAAAAATCGTCGATCGTCCAGTGACATTGACTTTAACAGGTCTGGTACAAATCACTACATTTTGCTAAGTATCCTGAATACTACCTGAAAAGCTTTATTTGCCTACCTGAAATAGCAGGGGTTGAAATTTTCCTGGAAAACCCACTAACCCAGGGGCTTTTGACAGGTCCAGCACAATCTCTTGATTTAGCTATATAGCTTGAAATGGTAACGGGATGTTTCGCACCTATGCATGGTTCGCCCCCCGATATTTCGCGCCAATTCTGTTTCGCGCTGAGATGGTTCGCCCCACGATGTTTCACAAATAAATGTGCTACTGAGTTTATAGTTCATTTAACAACATTTTAGATTTTAAATATATGTAAATATAGATATTTTTGGAACATTTTTTTTTAAATTTAAGAAGATTTTATTTGAAGCAGAGACGTAAATTATTTATGTCTGTGTTTGAGGTATACATACATAGCATAATTATGAATTATTATAACACCGTGCTAATTACGTATAAGTAGATAATATATTATAATACCGCCATCTAATTAAGTAATTATTGCTGGCTTGGACAACCCACACATCAACTTAAATTCTCTCTTTTTGATTTCCAACTTATTACAATTAAATCCTCATTGAAACACTGTTGAATTGTTGAACAGACACGCTGAGCAAACGGGCACCGTACGATCCTTAACTTTAGCAGACGTTATTAAGTCATGAATCTGAGCACACAAAATATTTATATCCTATTTGAGATAAATAATTTAAAACGGATGAAAATGTGATGAAATGTTTAAAATAAAACGTGAGATGTTTCGCGCCCAAATCGGCGCGAATCATCCTGGCGCGAACCATCTCAGTGCGAAATAGAATCGGCGCGAAACATCCCGGATTCCTTGAAATGGCTATATAGCTTTATTAAGCTATTCAAAATAGCTTGAAAAAGCTATTTATATGCAGTTTTTCAGGAAAATGTTTTTTGTAAGAAATAGACAAAAAGTCGCATGTATTTGACTATTCATATGTGTACTATGGGCTATCAAGACAACATGCAAAATCAAAGATAGCACTAATATTGCAGCATATGAATACTTTTAAGCAAAAGATGAATTTCCATTGTTTGGGTAACTGTACACTGCCTTGTGTGCGGTGAGGCATGGATAAGTATGATTGCCTCTCATTGTACTGAATTATTACCAGTCACTTATCTTGTTGACCATAATTGGCCTCCTTTAAAATTTCATTGAAGAAGTAACTGTATCAGTATTGCTTTACATAGCCCCAAAACTTTTAGAACTTTGAGTACAAAGTCTCTTAAGGAGACGCAATTTGATGACTGATTTTTACATGCATTATTTTCAGAAGAGTTCAAGGTTGAATATTATCACTGCACCAAGGTGCGACTTTTTATGCATGCTGAGAAAATATCACATTTAAGAAAAAGGTGTGATAAAATAGCTAAATCAAGCTATTCTGAAGAGCTTAATAAAGCTATAAAGCTGAATCAAGCTATATAGCTAAATCAAGAGATTGTGCCGGTCCTGTTTGATGAGCAAAAAATTGCACGCTCAATCCTCAAACTAACCAACAATTTGTTTATGCAAAATGAAAACATAACAAGTTAAAGTGTCAAATGCTTTGGTGACAGGAACAAATTAAAGTAGTTCTCAGTCACTAAAAACAGAATATATCATGTATATAGAAAAGTAAAATAAACTGTCAATCAAGAGTTTTTTTTTTCCATTCTGCTAGTCTGACGGACTGTCATTACATTTAAATTAGCTAGCCTGTCAATGAGTCTTAAAATGACTAGCCCCGGGCATCAGGCTACTGTATATTTCAACCCCTGAATAGTGTCAAGGATAGTTAGAATAATCTAACTGTGTCTTGGGACAAGCCCTCACCACAGTTAGAATACTTCCCATATACTTGCAATGTAGCAAATCAGAGTGGATCCACTCCGAAATGATTTTGAAGAATACAAAAGGAGTTGCACTGAAAATAACTACTAAATTAAACATGACAAACTTTTTTGAGATTGTATATGCCTTTTAACCTAAAAATTAATCCATATAAATACGAAAACTCAACTCCTTTTCTCAAAGTTTTTTCCTCGCTTCAAATTTAACGCCATGTTGACATTCGGAATTCTCTGGACTGTTCATAGAAAATGCACGGAGTTCAAGTTATCGCCCGTGTTTATTTTGCAACATTGCCAATACATGGAATGAATTCTATCGTTAAACTGGGTCCGTAGGACAATATCATTTTAATGATAGAACATTCTATCTATGTCAAGGTGACAAGGTCAGAAATATATCCTAGAGTACCCATAAATTGTTCCCTTACAACATTTAACGTCATAAAGCGCATGCAATTATTATTGCATATTATTTCTTAAAAACAAACTTTTTTTATTGCTAGCCATAGAATGGAAATGCTGATTAAATGTTAAAAATCATATTTTCATATCACTGTGTAGTGTACAAGATTTTTAGAGCTTTAAATATTTCTTCAAAATCAAACTTATTCCCAACACACTATTTTCATCCTTCAGATATAAAAACGGCCGTGACCGATTGGTTTATTTGTTTTTCTTGATTTGTGATTTAAAGAAAAGTTGAAAATTAAATCATTAAAATTTATTGTAAATCAAGTTCCATGCGAAAGTTTGTTTTTTTTTTTTTCAAAAAAAAATATCATCGATTTTAAAACACAATGCATTGCTATTACTGACTCCGCTTTCTTTTTTTAGAAATACAAATTTGCTTTCAGGTTTACATTGTCAACGATGTCATTACAATACATGCTCATTAAATTACTTTATATCAGTCTATGCGAAAGTCTAAAAAAAATTTACAGGACATAAGGTCTGGTAAAAATATATATTTTACCAGACCAAGCATTTACTTACCAGACCGACTTTATACATCATTATGATACAGAGATTGAAAGGGGGTATTCTAACTGATTATTAAATCAAACCGTAAATAGATCTAGAGTTGAGATTATAAAAAATGATTTTATTGAAATGAACAAACTTACTGTTAATATTTTTCCTTTTTGAAAGGTAGTACATGTATACAATTGCATACAATTTTCTCTTTTTCTGGTTATTTGACATATACAAACGAAATACACAGTGTCAAAGATTTTTTAAACTTAAAATGCTCTTTAAAATGTATTTTTTTCTTTTCTGAAGTAACTCATAAGGGTTACTTTTATTTAATAATGAAAAAAATTTTCCCTAACCGAATCTACATATGAGCTATCTAGAGATCTATATTCCATGACAGAGGAAATTGGAATTAGAAATAAACGATCATTACAGGGTTGTTATAGATTAAAATAAATCATGCATTACTGCTAAATGGATCGAGTAAAGGATATTTGTGGACAATAAGACCATATGTACATGTAAATTAAGATTTTTAGGCCTTATTTTTTCATCGGACAATCGGTCCTGAATCCTGAATTTTTTACCGGCCCGACCCAAATTTTACCGGTAAAAACCGACGGTCCATTGACTTTCGCATAGACTGTAATATGAGAATTATACAGTGTCATATTTCAGATTTTCCAAAATTCATCGGCCTTAATGCCCTTACTGGCAAAAACCAAAGAAAATCAAAAAATATTTAAACAGTGCAAGTCTGATTGACACAGTCTGGAAGAAAAAGAAAACTTTAATGGTTGGGGTTACATGTACAACATAGACTTGAATCACCTAATTAAAATGTGTGAAATATTCACGTCACATGAATATGGCCGAAGCATATAGAGTTTGTTATGTCTATCCTTCCATCCCGCTTTGCGTATAGCTCAGTTCAAAGTTAAATTTCGAAGAAACTATTCCAGATATTTTTATCAAACTTCATATCTAACAGGTATTGGTGAAGGCTATTCAACTGCATCAACATTTTTGTCCTTGACCTTTCCTTTGACCTTTTGACATCACTTTTCTTAAATTAGTGTCAAACTTCATATGCTGATACATACTGATGTAAGCTATTCAACTGGAATTTGACCTTGACCTTTCCTTTGACCTTGACTTCACTTTTCTCAATTTGTTTAGCAGTTTTAAAGAAACATTTTATGATATTTTTATCAAACTTCATATACTAATACATTCTGATGTAAGCTTTTCAACTGCATCAACATCTTAACTTGACCTTTCCTTTTACCTTAACTTCATTTTACTTAAATTAGTGTTTAGCTCAGTTTTACATAAACCATTCAAAATATTTTTATCAAACTTCATATGCTGATACGTATTAGTGAGAGTTATTCATCTGCATCAAAATAGTTTGACCTTGAACTTTCCTGTGACTTTGACCTCACTTTTTCTTAAATTTGCATTTTGCTTAGTTTTAAAGAAACCATTTAAGATAGTTTTATGTAAGCTAATGCACTTATACATAATTTGGTGAGAATTTATCATCTACCGATATATCCACTTTTTAGATTTCACTTTCAATTTTAAAGAAACTATTCAAGATATTCTCATCAAATTTCATACACTAATACAAATTTTCATGTTGCATTACGAATATACCCTTGGCGGGGCATTCATGTCCTATGGACATACAGTTAAGATATAATTAAAGGACAACCAAAGTACAATCTAATTAAAATTAGATCTTTGATCTACTCCAACTAGATCGCTATTATACACAAAGCGATCTAGTTGGAGCGGATCAAAGATCTAATTTTAATTAGATTGACCAAGGTAGAAAATAAAAACTTCAGTAAGCTGGTATGCAAATAAAGCTTATATTAAAACTGCATTTACAAAGAAAAAGGCTGTGTGTTACTTTCATTTTTGAAGTGATGCAAATATGTAACTTTTCAAACATCTTTTTTACATTACTGCACTAAGCAAGGGAAAATCAAAGTCACATCCATTTTCAACATTGTTTGGGTGTGATTTATACATTAGGACTGCAATTTTCAATGGGTGTCACACCAGGGATTTATCAGTACCTTCTCAGGGGCCGAAATTCGGCCCCATTCCCAATTGAAAATGAGTTCAGTTTTTCCCAATTTGGCAGTATTTTTTCCCAATTGGTGAACAATGCTTTTATTAGCTCACCTGAGCCGAAGGCTCAAGTGAGCTTTTCTGATCACATTTTGTCCGTCGTCCGTCCGTCCGTCTGTCCGTCTGTCTGTCTGTCTGTCCATCCGTCTGTAAACTTTTCACATTTTTGACTTCTTCTCAAGAACCACTGGGCCAATTTTGACCAAACTTGGTACAAAGCATCCTTGGGTGAAGGGGAATTTAAATTGTTAAAATGAAGGGCCAAGTCCCCTCACAAGGGGAGATAATCAAGAGAAGACAAAAATAGGGTGGGGTCATTAAAAAATCTTCTTCTCAAGAACCACAGGGCCAGTAAAGCTGAAACTTATATGGAAGCATCCTGGGGTAGTGTAAATTCTAAATTGTTCAAATCATGACCCCCAGGGGTAGGGCGGGGCCACAATGTGGAATCAATGTTTTACATAGAAATATATAGGAAAAATCTTTAAAAATCTTCTTCTCAAGAACCACTAGGCCAGAAAAGCTGAAACTTATGTGGAAGCATCCTGGGATAGTGTAGATTCTAAATTGTAAAAATCATGACCCCCGGGGGTAGGATGGGGCCACAATAGGGAATCCAAGTTTTACATTGAAATATATAGGAAAAATCTTTAAAAATCTTCTTCTCAAGAACCACTGGGCCAGAAAAGCTGAAACTTATGTGGAAGCATCCTGGGGTAGTGTAGATTCTAAATTGTTCAAATCATGACCCCCGGGGGTAGGGCGGGGCCACAATAGGGAATCCAAGTTTTACATTGAAATATATAGGAAAAATCTTTAAAAATCTTCTTCTCAAGAACCACTGGGCCAGAAAAGCTGAAACCTATGTGGAAGCATCCTGGGGTAGTGTAGATTCTAAATTGTTCAAATCATGACCCCCGGGGGTAGGGCGGGGCCACAATAGGAAATACAAGTTTTACATTGAAATATATAGGAAAAATCTTTAAAAAACTTCTTCTCAAGAACCACTGGGCCAGAAAAGCTGAAACTTATGTGGAAGCATCCTCAAGTAGTGTACACTTTAAATTGTTCAAATCATGACCCAGGGGATAGGGCGGGGCCACAATAGGGGGAATCCCAAGTTTTACATTGAAATATATAGGAAAAATCTTTAAAAATCTTCTCAAGAACCACTGGACCAGAAAAACTGAACCTTATGTGGAAGTATCCTGGGGTAGTGTAGATTCTAAATTGTTCAAATCATGGCCCCTGGGGGGAGGGTGGGGCCACAATAGGTATTACAAGGGGGGAGTCTGTTAATGAACAGCATGGCCAAAGTTACTCAGGTGAGCGATGTGGCCCATGGGCCTCTTGTATTTAATTATCTTGGAAAAACACAAGGAAAATTGTCAGATTGTCTGTAATTTTCATCTATTTAAGTTATTTAGCAAAGATACAGTCATAACACATTTAAAAACACTGTAAAAACATGGCCAACTTTTAATCCGAATTTCCTCCGTTTTTCTGAAAATGGTGATATTGTGTAATTATATAGATTTATTAAGTTATTTCTACATACTCAATTGATCTGCGAGTGAATGGTAAGGACTGTAGGCATTATTTCAAATAGAAAAATGTATTTATAATGCATTAATACATATTAAAAGAGGACTTTGAGAAAATATATACTTGCAGGAGATATATACTTTATATTTTCCAGGAACAGATTCTGTAATGACCTAAATTGGAATCTAATACACACATGTACTACCCTAAGTTGTATAAACACTTTATACTCATTGAAGTCATTTTTATTTTTATTAGTCTGTTATTCACAATTGATCTTGTATTAAGTTGGATCATATATAATTGTCTGTTTGATTGCCCAAATTAGAGTTCATGCTGAAATATTAAATGAATTACACCGAATACATGATTTAAGCAACATTTTTTATTTTTCCCAATTTCATCAAAAAGCCGATATTTTTTTCCCAATTCCCCAAAAATGGCGTTTCCCAAAATAGGCTGATAAATCCCTGGTGTCCCCCCCCCCCCCAACTTTTGGGGGTTACTTTACAACATTATGCACTTTACACATAACTTTATGGTGATATCATACAATTTTGATATGAAATAAAAATATTTTGCATGGGGTAATAGTTAATTTTGCTAAGTTTCTTTGATTGCAAAATTTACCAAATAGGAAGACTTACATGTTGGCATAAATCCTCCAGATATAAAGCAATTTGAGTGTACGTTAGGTTTTTTTTGTGCCTTTACAACATGTAGCAATAAACATAAACAAATTATTATGAGAAACTACTGTAAATTCCTAAATATACGCGAGGAATAAATTATTGCGTAATTACGCGAGAAGCACCACTTGCGAAATAAAATTACTCGCTTTTATTTTTATGGTGCTTTAATGTATGAAAAATCTCTAGATAAATCACCCATTCGCGAATTATTGTTCACGCGATTTGACGCCCTTGAACCATTTCGTGATATTAAGTACTCGCGTAAAATAAGGAATCTACAGTAATTACTTTTGAATTTTTTCTCTTAGATAAATTTGGATATTTGATCAATTTATGTCAATTTGTTCCATTGAATAGGGGAAAAATCCTCTATCAGTCATTTGTTTGCCAATGAATTTTTAAAATGTTGTACTGGTTTTATTTTGTTTTTGTAGGACATAAGAAGTTTTTTCACTGCAAAATCTAGCAAGAAATCAGATGGTGGTAAAGAAACCTTGACAAAACAAGTGGAGGAGTCCAAAAGCAAAGAGACACCTAAAAAGAAAGAGAATACCAAGTCAACAAAGAAAGAAAAGAGTAGTAAAGTAGACAAAAACAGTTCCAATAAAAAACAGTCTCCCAAAAAATCCAACGCTCAAAAAGATACGGGGAAAAAGAAAATCTATGTGCTAGACAGTGATTCCGAGACAGAATTTAATGAAACCTCACAGAGAGGTTCTGGTAAAAATTCTAAAGACAACAAAGCAAGTAGTAAGACGGGAAAGAAGCTTAAATCTGAAGAAAGCGATGAAGAGGAAGTTCAGACAAAAAAAGGCAAAAGAAAACGTCATCAGGTAAAGTGAAAGTTGTGCATGATCGATTGATCATCTTGTTTAATGAACATGTAGGCACTAAATTACCAGGTATTACTGGCATCTATACAGAAGCTGTCAGACATGAAAATTTTGTTAATCATATTGTGGGAAGTTTGCACAAATTTAGATATCCTTATATTCATCCATATCAGTCGCCTACATAAGTTGGTTATCCAGTGTATAATATTAAAGTCAGCTTTCATGCTCAAGACTTACTTAATTGAGAGCTAAGGCCAAAGTTTTTATTTTTTTTTTTTGGTTTACGATTTTCTGTCTCAAAAAAATGCATTGGGTGGTCTAAAAATAAAAATAATTTAGGATTCAACAGTTTATTTTAATAAAAATAATACACGTCAATAGTACTTTTAAGTTTTATTGTCTAGATCACATAACTCTTTATTTAATTTTGATTCATTTCTAACTTAAGACTGAATGTCATTTTCATTTACATATAGTTCTGATTTTTGTTTGTCAATCAGTGCTTGGTTCATGATGTTCAACTTCTTTTTGTGCTCTTCAGTGATATGTGATGTGTTATAAACCTCGGTATCCCCACAAACTAAAAATAAGGATCCAAATTTAAGTTAAATTTAGATTGAAGAAAAATACAATTAAAATTGTTTAACAATATCAAAAGTAATTGACATTGAAATAAAGGTTATAATAATTTGATCATGCAGCTATCAAATTTAATGTTCAACCTGCGGCACAATAGCCTAATAATTTCTCCACCAAGTCCTTCTTTAAATTTTTGTTATGTACCTGCACGGTAGGAAATGCTCATTATTTACTTAGTAATTCAAAGGGCTTTGATCTCAATTGAGTATGAAATTTGCAAAGATTTGTATATTGAATATACTTCTATATAAAAATAACAAATGTTTTATACGCATTTGAATTTATCCAGTGAAATACCGGTCAGCGTTACTTCAACTAAGATGTATCTCTCAACACTAAATTGGCCTAACTATTATCAATGGATTTATCAGCCTATTTTGGGAAACACCATTTTTGGGGAATTGGGAATAAATTATCAGCTATTTGATGAAATTGGAAAAAATTTAAATCCTGTATTCAAGGGTAATTCATTTAACATTTCAGCATGAACTCTAATTTGGGCAACCATACGACAATTAAATATGATCCATCTTCATCATACAAGATCAGTTATGAATAAAAGCTAATAAAAGTAAATAGGACTTCAATGAGTGTAAAGCATTTATACAACTTAGGGTAGTACATGTGTGTATGAGATTTCAATTTAGGTCATATAGTATACGTTTCTGGAGATTATAAACCTCCTGCAAAAAATTATACCAAGTACACATTTTCTAAAAGTCCTCTTTTAATATGTATTAATGCATTGAAAATATATTTTTCTATCTGAAATAATGCCTAAAGTCTTTACCATTCACTCGCAGGTCAATTGAGTAGGTGGAAATAACTATCTTGAAAAAACACAAAGTAAAATTGTCAGACTGTCTGTAATTTTCATCTATTTAACTCATTTAGCAAAGCTACAGTCATAACACATGTTTAAAAACACTGTAAAAACATTGCCAACTTTTAATCCGAATTTCCTCCATTTTTCTAAAAAAGATGATATTGTGTAATTATATAGATTTATTTAGTTAAAAATAAAAGCATTGTTCACCAATTGGCAAAAAATACTGCCAAATTGGGAAAAACTGAACTCATTTTCAATTGGAAATGGGGCCGAATTTCAGCCCCTGAGAAGGCATTGATAAATCCTTGTTATCTATAGGTGTAACCATGTCTGCTAGGTCGATCAGGGTTGGGCATAAACTCTCCAATATTACAGTATGAATTTAGCCAATTCTGACATTGCAGTTGGAGAAAGGGATCATGCATCCAATATTTTATTCACTTTTTCATGCAGGAAAAGTTCTTTAAGTGTGTGTCATTGCTTTGAGTGAGGAATTACCTTGTTACATGACAGAACCGCCATTTTTGGTTTGCACATGTTTATTTACGGTCACCTAAATGTTTGTAAAGGTCTCATATATTTATAAGTGCTTATTCGACTAAGATGCATTCTAAAATTTAAAACCCACCAGTTCAGCTGAGAAAAATCCGGAAAAATATGTCGGAAAAAGACATTATTTTTATTTTCATGATTGGTGAAAATTAGGGTCAACGGAATCGTAAACCAAAAGAAAAAAAAAACTTTGGCCTAAGGTACATATTTTTCTCATCAGCTGGCTTGGATGCACTCATTTTACCCTGTTCCCTCTATTTATGCACTATGACTAAATAATTTCAACCTTTATCATCGATCATGATGCAGGGCATAATTCCTTCAAACACGTGATAGTTGTGAAATATCTTTTTATCATGTATCCCTGTAAAATAAAATACAAAGAAATAGCTATTAAAAAAAAGGTGTTTATTGGATGAACTATATGATATATACAAGAAGTTTTTGCTTCAAAATGTTTCAGACAAATGACATCTAAAATCACCGATTTTTGTAAACATCAGAATTTTCTCATTAACAAGGACGTGTCCATCCTTGAGTCTGCTGAAGCACATGCAGTTTTTAGCAGCATGGTATCCCAAATAATTTTGCTGTGTCCATTACACTTTTATTTGCATTAATGAGAACCCTGAATAAGTGCATAACCCATTATCAACATTGGAAAATACATATCCCTTGTAACCATGCAGTGATCACGCCCGAGGGTTGGACTAAGTTGGTCATATAATAATAAAGAAGATAAGTACATAAATATAATAAAGCATTATTGAAAAGCTTTGCCTTTTCTCATGGATCTCTAGCAGACAAACTGTTTATGTGATGTTATAATAAACACTAGATCTCTACCAAAATTGTTTAATTAATGACACCTTCATATCCTTGATTTACCATTCAGAAAGGAGCTAAGATGGACACATATTATACTCATGGACATGCATCAGACAGACTGTTTGCATGATTGAAATTATAACCCAAGCCAAAATTAAAGAACTGATGACTATGGGGTCTAGGGTTTTGCCCCGGGGGGGGGGGGGGGGGGGGGGGGGGGGCTAATTATAAATTGGTTATATTTTGAAAGTAAATTATATACTGTAGAAGCAGAAATATTCGTTAGGGATTTAATTTTGTTTATTTTGTTGTTAAGAATTATCAACGAAATTAAATCCCATATGAAATTTTTATATTACTATGTATAGAATAGGGTTACTCTTGAAACAATGAAATTTAATGCCCATGAAACCTTCTTAGATGACAAACCAACCAAATTTTATCCCCACTAAATATTTGCTTTCACAGTATGTATCTATATCTTTAGAAATCTCCATTACTCAATACTCATGGATATTTTAAAGCTGGCAATTTATTTGCTTGATTATAATTGGCCCTTGAGTCAATCATATATTGAAATTCATCATAAAGTATTTGATTGTACATATAAACTGTAAAATTTTTGTCACGAAAGTCCAGACCAGATCTACTGCGAGGCAAAAGTGGTCAGTTAGCCTGAGAACCTCATTATCAGTGATTGGGAAGAGTTTGCGCCATGAGCCATAGTCGCATTGAAGTGAAAAATGGCACATTAAATAAAGCATTGGCAGCACCAATGTGTTATTTCTTAAAATGGCCATTCATAATATATAGATGGCCCTTTCATTTTCAAAACGGCCAGTGAAAAATTTTCATAGTAGAGCCATAGTCCCCTTGACTTTCTTGGCCTTTCAAATTACTGCAACAGTGCATTATGCTCAAGTGACTGATCAGGGCCCAAGGAGCTCTCGTAAATGTTTTGAGAATGAATAACATGCATTTTACTTTTAAACAGAAGGTGTATCACCACGACATGTATGTTTTTTTTTTTTTTTTGGACAGGTGAGTAGTGAGGATGAAGAAGTGGCAGTCTCAAAACAAAAATGGAAGTCGAAGAGAAGACTCGACTCCGATTCCGAGGAAGACGTCAAAGAAATCAAAAGGAAGGCTGGTAAAAAGTCCAAAGCACTTCATGTAGATTCAGGTAAGCTGTAGATAGTACTTAAAAATTTTGTGGGTTTCCATTTTTAGCTCACCTTGACGAAGTCGAGATGAGCTTATGCTATATCCCTGGCGTTGGTGTCGGCGTCCCAGTTAAAGTTTTAGGAGCAAGTCCATTCCCAAGTAACTATAAGCCCTACCTGGACCAAACTCATGGATGATGCATCTAGGGATGGACCCTACCACACTTGCTTCAGATGCTGGATCTGACCTAGATTTTCCAGATGAGTGACCAGGTTCAGATTTTGGAGCAGGTCCATTCCCAAGTAACTATAAACCCTACCTGGACCAAACAAGTTGCAGTTATTTTACAGCTTGATTTGGCTATTAGTATTTGGATCATAAGGAAGTTTATACATGTTAAACATGTTAAATGTCATATTTGAATGGGATAGCATTTAGACTTATGAGGTCAAAAGGTGTATGGTTTCTGTTTCTAAATAAAATTTATTTTCAATGACTTAAGAATGGGGGTATTCAACTATTCATAAAACCTTGCCAAAATTTATTTTAGATAGTTCCTCAAATTACTCACAAGAAAAAGAGCCTTTAAAAACAATGAATTCCAATATTGCATCTGGCAGGACATTGTACTACATATAGTTTACTCTGAATAATATATATATATATATATATATATATATATATATATTATATATATATAAAATATGTCCTCATTAAACACAAATCTTTCATTTTTGAATTCTTGACAAAAACCTACAGATGAGGAAAAGCATGTGAAAACCACACTTGATGCATTTTTAAAGACACCGAGTCCCAAGAAACACACGAGTGACAATGGAAGGACGGAGTCTAAAAGTGTGACAAAAACACCAGTCAGTGTACAGGATTTCTTTGGAGGAGAATCCGTGAAGCGTTCAGACAAAAAGGTTGCAGCCAAACGCACAGTGGTCAGTTCACTTAAGTTGATATCCATATAGTAATAAATTGAATAGAAGTATTTTGAATTACAAAATAATATACTTTAGTTTTTTATCCTGAAATATAACAGTGTACATGTATAAGTTTACAGTGTATGAATTCTTTGTAATTTATTACAGTATTTACTTTTTACACTTTTTGAATACTCTATAATGTATTAACTGTGTACAGTATTGACTTGTCAACTCTGCAATGTATGATTGAATACTTTATATTTATACAACATTTAGCCTATTTACAGCCTATTTACAGCATGTTTTCTTCTTACACAGGGCAAATCAGAAGACCCAGTGGTATATGATGTAGAAATGCATGAAGACGACGATTTCCAGAAAACTCTAGACATGGCAGATGAAAGGAAACCAAAGCGAGTAAGGATGATTTTTATGACATCGAGCTCTTGGAGCTCGAATGTCATCTAGCAAGCGCCCAGTTGAAATTGCAACTGGATATGTACACGACCGAATGTGTCAGTTAATGCATCCGCAATAGAAAATAGCAATAGCTATAAACCAATTTCTTTGAAAACGCTCAAAATGAATAATAGCTTGAAAATAAAATTGCATCAATTATATCTGCAATTAATTCTATTGCAAAACAACAATATTATGAGTATTCTCACACAAGAAAAACGTGATGGTTGATGCGGATGAATTTCTACAGAAAGGGTGCATTGAATGACATGAATAACATTTCAGAACGATAACCGTGTAACATAAACAACACAACAGGAGGTAAAATAATTACAAAATTACATAAACACAAATACTACAAGACAAAAAAGATTGAATTTCTAAATCTTAGCTTTAGTTATACAATCTTCTAACCAACTCTATCCTAAAAACTGGTGATATTGACCAGTATTGCTGTATTTCTCCATTTCCTCCATTTCCCAGTAAATCGTATACCACGCCCAATCGTAACTCGATCGTAATTGTAACAGAACAGAGTCTTGGTTGTAATTTAGATGCAATCACTAATACAATGCTTTGACATTGGCAATTAGAAAAAATATTATATTAATTCATGAAATCCTTCATAGCTCTTCAACTGACTGAAAAGAATTTAGCATGAAGGTGTTCGACGGTGTCTGGTCAATTCGAACCCTGTTCCATTCGGACCATGACATAAGGCCCCAGACTGTAATTGTGATATTTTGTTTAAACTATATTTTTTATTATGTCTCCTGAGTCACTCACTTGACTTACTGCTATCTTCAAATTCAAAATGATCTTTTGAAATTGTTTTTCTTCTTCAACGTCATTGAAGCCTTTTAGGCTTTTGATTTTTAAAATCTAAGTGTTAGCTCACCTGAGCTGAAAGCTCAGGTGAGCTTTTCTGATCACATTCTGTCTGTAGTCTGTCTAGCTGTCCGTCCGTCCATACATCCATCTGTCTGTAAACTTTTCGCATTTTTGACTGTCTATAAACTTTTCCCATTTTTGACTGTCTGTAAACTTTTCCCATTTTTGACTTCTTCTCTAGAACCACTGGTCCAATTCCAACCAAACTTGGCACAAAGTATCCTTGAGTGAAAGGGATTCAAGTTTGTTCAAATAAAGGGCCATGCCCTCATTCAGAAATAGTGAGAATTTGGTTGCATGTATTAAAAATCTTCTTCTTAAGAACCACTGGGCAAAAAAAGTTGAAACTTATAGGAAACCTTCTTCACATGGTGTAGATTTAAGTTTGTGCAAGTCATGACCCCCAGGGATAGGATGGGGCCACAATGGGGGATCAAAGTTTTACATAGGAATATATAGGAAAAAACTTTTAAGAACAGAAAAGCCATGTTTCGTCATTTTGAAATAGAAGCATCCTCAGATAATGTAGATTCATGTTTATTCAAATCATGACCCGGGGGTAGGGATGGGCCACAATGGGGGATCAAAGTTTTACATAGGAATATATAGGAAAAAACTTTTAAGAACAGAAAAGCCATGTTTCGTCATTTTGAAATAGAAGCATCCTCAGATAATGTAGATTCATGTTTATTCAAATCATGACCCGGGGGTAGGGATGGGCCACAATGGGGGATCAAAGTTTTAGATAGGAATACATAGGAAAAAATCTTCTCAAGAAAAGAAAAGCCATGTTTAGACATATTGATATGGAAGCATCCTCAGGTAGTGTAGATTCAAGTTTATTCAAATGATGTCCCCTGGGGGAAGGGAGGGGTTACAATGGGGGATAATTTTTTTCAAAGGAATATGTAGGAAAAAATCTTTAAAAATCTGCTGCTCAAGAACAGCAAAACCTTTTGTTATATTGATATAGAAGCATCCTCGGGTAGTTTAAAATTCAAGCCCCCCCCCCCCCCCCCATGTAAACTTTTCAATACTGAACTGATTTGTTCTTTTTTCCTACCCAATGTGCTTAGGTGAGCATTGTGGCCCATGGGCCTCTTGTTTTATTAAAACTATTACATTTTTGAGAGGATTAATATATTACAGAGTTCTGTATCTCTATAACAGGTGTTTGTTTAACACAAGTACAATAGGGTTATACACTTCAGTCAAAGTGGTTCCTATATTTTCCTGCAGCACCATGAAGATGTTTTAAGGTATTAGGGGTGTAATGGTCATGACTTTGAATATGACTAAATTCAGTTTAGTTATAATGGACAACACTTCTGGCAATATTTCCCAAAGTTTCAAGCAATTCTGTCCAAACATAATTTTTCTATACCTATTTCCATGCCTGTACCCTCTAACCACTAATGCACCTTTAATAGATAAAAGGTACAGATGTAATTTTTACCTCTACTCTAGTTAGTCGCAAACAGTTGAATGTTTCATGTATTCAGCTGCAACACTAAGAAGTACAGATTGCATATATGCATTCTTTTTAGTTCAGATTCATCAGGTATGATATATGAATACTTGTAATCGAGAGAACTTGTCTACTTTGAGTGACAATTTTGGCGATTTTTTTCATAAAACGTTTGTAATATTCTGTCAAAGAAAAATGTGGTAGGAGAGATCAATAAACATGATAAAAGAACAATATCAATTTTGTGTAAGGTGTGTTTGTGATAATATAACAACAACAAAACTTTATTCCATCCACAATATTTATCTATATTCTGTATCATAGCGATGTACCCCTAAAAATTTCAGCCATCATTTTTTGTAAATGTCATGAAATATGTGATAATTAATGAGATAATGAACATATATAAACAACAGGTTATTGTCATATTGAATACACTTCACTTTAGTCAGATTCATTTGTTCAGAAGATTGACCTCGTCACAGTGACCTTGTCCCAGACAAAGATTTGCAAAATGACCTACATTTTTGCAGTTTCCGTGCGCATGAAGTTTTTTTGAAGTTGTAAACATATTTACATTCTATTTTTTACTGATATATTTTGAACATCTCAGATATTTTACGTATGAACATTGAACGTCACTTATAAATTGCAGATTCTACAATGCACGCAATGCTACCTATTACGTACATTTTTCCCCTCAAATTGTTTGCTGATATTGAGAGAATCACAAGAAATCGCGATGCGAATGTAAAGTTTTTGAAGAAAGGTACACTTCGTTCGTTCTTCGAAAAGGGTGCTATTTTTAGAAGTTGGAAAAACCCATGAAGTGTGTATTTGAAGGTATCATCGTTTTGACTGCATATTTTGTCTAACAAAATATATTAACGTGTTTTCTACGTAATATCATATTTATTCTCTCCTCCGCTAAGTTATATTCATTTTCTTTGGTGTATGTTTTATGTTAGCGTCCTAGGCCGTCTTGACGACACGCCATTTTTGTTTACGAAGTACAGTGTTCCGAAAACTACCGATGTCAGACACCTCGGTAAATGCCGTCATTTTTACCGGAAATGGCGTATTACACCTCTAATACCTTAATCAAGGAAACCCAACTTTTTGCAGTATGATAATGAACATAAATTCATTACTTGGGTCCAGAGTTCCAGGTGGGGCTGAGTTGGTCATAGCATGAGAAACTCGAGATACCAAGGTGACTGACAAGGCCCATGGGCCTCTTGTTTTATTGGCCTTTTATGGCTAATGTCTGATATTGACGATAGTGTTAATTAAATTCCAGATAAAAACAGATACCAAGCAGGAGTCATCAAGTGCAAGTAAGTTATAAAAATTAATCGTCTTCAAGGTACTTCTAAACAGACCAACCAGTCATTCAAGAACAGTGTGATTTGTTCTTTAGATTTGTTTCTTTGGTTAAGTGAGGTTTTATCACATATTTTTTTGTGTATGGAGATATTGAGAGAGACTGAATTAAAGAGTTATTTTATGCAGTATTTGGTTTGTCAGTCTGTTTCATGAAATGGATACTCTGTAAATCTCATAACAATTAAAGATCAGTTATAATTTTATAAATATAATTGATAACTTTTCTTAAAAAAATTAATTATTGTACTTCAAAGCTGGTCCAAAATTACAATTGTTATTAACTGTACATACTCTTCCCAAATAATAAGTTGTACACCAAACTAGACCCTACAGGCCAAAAAACTGATTGCTGATAGTCATAATATTACACTACTGTAGGTAAGCAGAGTCTGTCGAGTAAGTTAGCTGCCAGGATTCAGGCCAGCGATGAAAGTGATGTCATTCCTGATACACCCACCACAGACAGGGTAAGAACTGATACACCCACCTCACACAGGATAAGAACGGAACACATCCAACTCAGTGTAAGAACTGAACACACCCACCTCACACAGGGTAAGAACTGATACACCCACCTCACACAGTGTAAGAACTGATACACCCACCTCACACAGGATAAGAACTGAACACATCCAACTCAGTGTAAGAACTGATACACCCACCTCACACAGGGTAAAAACTAACACCCCCACCTCACACAGGGTAAGAACTGAACACACCCACCTCAGTCAGGGTAAGAACTCGTACAATCACCTCACACAAGGTAAGAACCCCTACACCCACCTCACACAGGGTAAGAACTGATGCATCCACCTCACACAGGGTAAGAAGTCGTACAACCACCTCACACAGGGTAAGAACTGACACAACCACCTCACACGGGGTAAGAACTGACACACCCACCTCACACGGGATAAGAACTGACACACCCACCTCAGTCAAACTAAGAACTGACACATCAACCTCCTATGCTTAATTCGCATGAGTAAGAAAGGACTGCCATACTTCCCAATGGTCATAGTAAAAACACTGAAACACTCATCTGAGCCAGTTTAGATATGATTTGACACACCCACTTCAAAGAATAAAACACCAATTTCATCCAAACTTGCCACAAGCATCCTTGGGTGAAGGGGATTTAAGTTTGTTCAAATGAAACATCCTCTTTATAGGGGAAATAATTTTCAAATTTAAAAGTGAAAATTTAATGGCATCTTTAAAAAAAAAATCTTTTCAAGAGCCACTGGGCCAGAAAAGTTGAAACTTTTGTGAAAGTTTCACTATGTAGTGTAGATTCAGGGGGTAGGTTGAGGCCACAATAGTGATCAAAGTTTTACTAGGAATATACAGGGAAAAATGTCTAAAAATCTTCTTCTCCAGCACAGCAAAGGTATGTCATATTGCAATAGTAGCTTTCTCAAGTAGTATAGATTCAAATTTTAAATATTGACACCTGGTGGTAGGGTGATGTCACAATAGAGATTGAAGTTTTATTTTGGATTATATAGGGATTATTTTTGTAAAAATCTTTCCAAGAACAGTAGGGCCATGATTATTAGTGATATTTATATATGCAAGCATTCACAGGTAGGGCAGATTCAAGTTTGTTCAAATCATGGAATCCAGTGGTATGGTGGGGCCACAATAGAGGATCAATATTTTAAAAGGAAAATAAGAATTTTATTAATACCCTCTTCAATCAAAGCTTGGGGAGTGTATAGGAATCACCTTGTCTGTTTGTCTATGCAATCTTTTCTGTGCTATAACCCTGTAATTGAGAATCATCGGAAGCTTTTGCTTGGAACAAAGATTGTATATAACCTGAGAAATGAGAATGTGTCATGACCTTGACCCAATGCAAGGTCATTCCAACAAGCTAAAGATCACTTGCAGAAAAGTATAAAATTCTTGTCTGGGTTATAACTTTGACTGTATTGGAGAATCATTGGAAGCTCTTATTTAGTATAAAGATTGTTTATGATCTGGAGGGTGTGTCATAACCTTGACTTAAGGTATGTCACTCGTCAGCCTTTTAGAAAAGAATCTGGGGGGATAAGACGAGCCATGTGCCCATGCCCATTTTTCGGCTATGCAAGAACATTTATTGAAAAAAATCTCTCAATTGTTCGAGTTTACTTAAGCATTTTAATGTTTACCGTAGTTTTCAAAATGATATTTATATTCTAAACAAGCTAAACAGTTGACTTTCATTTACTGTCACAAATGTCTAACATGGGTAAGGACTTCTATTAATTAATCTGCATATTGAGTGTTTACACTTATTGTGGAGATATTATAAAAATGTTAACATCGTATATAATGATAATGGTGATCTAGAAGCGCTTTTATTTAAAATAAATAAAAACGGGAATAAAAGTATTCAAATATCTATTATAATTTTTATCCGGCATTTTAAATAATTTACTGTAAATAAGTTCATTACTACATGTATATATTTTATTTCCAGTGAAAAATATGTTATTCCTATAGACATTTTTTTATGAAGTAAAACAAAATTAAAACCAAAGAAAACAAAAACAAAAAAAAAACAAAAAACAAAACAAAAAACAAAATCAAAAAATCAGAGCATGACTCGAACACTTTCCTCAATAAACGTCCCTTTAAAGAGCTCCTCGCTAACCACTGTACCACGGAGTCACACATACATACCCATTTAAATAGCATACAGTTCTCTATATTTAGCAAGCGTATTTGGACTTAGAATTTTTTAAGACCACGGTGAAAATTTAAGTAAGTTAACTTAATTTTTTATGTAGAGTGGGTCTTCGTACCAAATATTTGCAATTGTAAAAAGCAACATCTTTCCATTGCCTTTCATTAATCGTTCTCAAAAAAATGGTACGATGACCCACTCTATTTAAAAAATGTAGTTATATCATCCAATTTATGTCAGTTTTTGTGAAAATTGAGCGTGATGCCATTTTTTTGTGTTAATCAGAATCATTTTCGCTGTTACAGTATTCAGGTTTTGTCAAATTTGTATGCAAATGGTAATAAGCATTACATTAATTCAACAAAAAGTGAAATTTTTGTAAAATGAATTTATTGATTTTTTATCGATCGTTATGTAGGCATATGGCTCGGCTTATCCCCCCAGTTTCTTTCAGTCAGAACCTCTTACTTAAAAACTATTTATTACAATTCAATCTTTATAACATATTTAAATTAAACAATGTAAAATGTTCAACATTCAATTAAAAAAATGCTCAAAAATTCACAAAGAAGCAAGATTTATAAGGGACTATTTCTTGTGGCGGAAGGATATTTAGCAGAAAATTCTGCAAATCTACACATTTATTAAATTTAATATCTTGGAACTTCAGCCTCACATACTTTTACTCAGAGAATATTTTCCGTTATGATATGCCTGGAATATTAAATATAGGTCTCAATTTATATTTTTATAACAAAATTTACACCTTCGCTCAACAAACATTGCCAAGAAATGAAGATATATCAAGGAGGTCGAGATAAAATTTACACAGTTTTTTGCCTGAAAATCGCATATTTTGACCAATATTGACCCCAACTTTTTCTTTCATTATTTTAAACTACTCGATACTTTTGACCGATCAGCACTTAAGTTGTAAAAAGTTTGATACAAGAAAATATTCTATTGCCTATTTAAATTTTTAATACCCCAAATATGAGATTTTCTAGTGCAAAAAGGTCACACAATAATTTATGCGCATTAATTTGCTTGATTTGTTCAATGATAAATATTATTCAAACTATTTTACGTAAAATAAGATTATGTTTATTGCCATGGTTACATCTTATAAAATATGATAACGGTTAAAGTGATTAACCAAAGAGTTACAATTTAAGTGCAAAAAGGTCAACTTAATTGTACCGTAGCTCAGTTAGATGCACACTGACCCCCCATTTTCTCTGCGATTATGAGTACTTATCCAAAATATACTTCTCAAAAAATCTTTGATATAACAAATTTCACGAGTGACATACCTTAAGGTCATTGTGACAAGTCCATTGTCGCTGGTAAATTAAAATTCATGACAGGTCCATAATTTTCTATTGGAGAAACATTAGGTGTCCATATTTCACTCAAAGATTACTTATGATCAGGGCATGTTTACTTCTGCAAAACAGAAAAATCATGTTAGTGAATAAAGATGGAATTTTTATGACGTCGAGCTCTTGGAGCTCGAACGTCATCTAGCAAGCGCCCAGTATGAAATCGCGACCGGATATGTACGCGACCGAATGTGTCAGTCGATGCATCCGCAATAGAAAATAGCAATAGCTATAAACCAATTTCTTTGAAAACGCTCACAATGAATAATAGCTTGAAAATAAAATTGCATCAATTATATCTGCAATTAATTCTATTGCAAAACAACAATATTATGTTTTATTCTCACTCAAGAAAAACGTGATGGTTGTTGCGGATGAATTTCTACAGAAAGGGTGCGTTAAATGACATGAATAACATTTCGGAACGATAACCGTGTAACATAAACAACACAACGGAGGTAAAATAATTACAAAATTACATAAACACGAATACTACAAGACTAAAAAGATTGAATTTCTAAATCTTAGCTTTACTTATACAATCTTCTAACCAACTCTATCCTAAAAACCGATGATATTGACCAGTATTACTGTATTTCTCTATTTCCTCCATTTCCCAGTATACCGTATACCACGCCCGATCGTAACTCGATCGTAATTGTAACAGGACAGTCTTGGTTGTAGTTTAGATGCAATTACTAATACAACGCTTTGACATTGGCAATTAGAAAAAATATTATATAAATTCATGAAATCCTTCATAGTTCTTCAGCTGACTGAAAAGAATTTTGCATGAACATGTTCGACGGTGTCTGGTCAATTCGAACCCTGCTTCATTCGGACCATGACATAAGGCCCCAGACTGTAATTCTGATATTTTGTTTAAAACTATTTTTTTATTATTTCTCCTGAGTCACTCACTTGACTTATTGCTATCTTCAAATTCAAAATGATCTTTTGAAATTGTTTTTCTTCTTCGACGTCATTGAAGCCTTTCAGGCTTTTGATTTAGATCTTGTGATAATGATGAACAGCAGGCCAGAATGACTCATGTGAGCAATGTGGCCCATTGACCTCTTGATTGTAAAATGTTTCCCTTCTGAAGCATACATTTAAGATATTCTCATGTTTTTCTTGTAGAGTCAGTTTACAAAGATCTCGGAGAAAAAGGGCTCACCAAAGAAAACTGAGCAGAAGAAAGTCCCTCCCAAAAAGGCAACCCCTAAAAAGGCCTCTCCTGTCAAATTCACTCCTAAGAAATCCCCTCCCGTTGTGAGTGAGACTGCAGCCACTCCAAGGTCTGAAACAACTAGCAAACCAGGGGCAAAAGCTAGTCCTACCAAAGTAGTAAGTAAATACTGCAGCCACAAGTCAAAGCAAACCAGGCATAAAATCAAGTCCTACCAAAATACCATGAAATCACTGAATTTCGTGGGGGTTCAATTTTCATTGTTTTGTGGTATGGAGAGACCCACAAATTCATGCTCTACGTGAAATGTAAAATTTCGTGTACTGTAGATTCCTACATGTAAATATAAGCAAGGAATTAATTATCGCGTAATTTCATGAGAAGCAACACTCACGAAATAGAATTACTTGCGTTTATTTTTATGGTGCTGAAATCCATGTAATATCTCTTGATCAACCGTCCACTTGCGGATTATTATTCTCAGGATTTGACGTTAAAGAGCCATTTCGCGAAAATAAGTACTCGCAAAAAATAAGGAATCTACAGTAAACAACAACTCAACACTTCCACAACCAAGAAATCAAGTCCCCACAAACCAATATTTTTCCTTCAAACCCCTTGAAAATTAGAGAGGTTAAGCAGATGACCATGTATGTGTAGCTAGGGAATTCCCTTAAATTACTGCGATTTACGTCATCAGTTTTGCATACCATGTAATTCTTCAAGTTGTACACAACGTGTAGATTCATAAGTACACGAAGGTAAGAACTTGTAGCTTCTTAAACTCAAATTATAGAATATATATTTTTCAGGCAGTGTTTGTTGTGATGTTGAGAGTTTATTACGTACATCTATGTATCTGTTTTAATCAAAGTCATAAAATTATTTGATAAAAAATGGATTGTAAAGTGACTTGTTGAAATTATGTTTTACACGTACAGGTACACGCACAGTTTGATAAACAAAACACGGTGTTAGTTGCGCGTACTTGTAAAAAACACTTCTAGGTTTACATGTACACGTAGACGCACATGGTCAAATGCTTAACCTCTCTATTATGTGATTTTACAGTAGTAAATACTTCAGCCAGGCCTAAATCAGAAGAAACCAGCAAACCAGGGGCAAAAGCTAGTCCTGCAAAATACATGTAGTTAAAAGTAATTACTGCAGCAAGGCCTAAAGCAGAAGAAACTAGCAAACCTGGGGCAAAAGTTAGTCCTGCAAATTAAACAGTACTAAGTAATTACTGCATCTAGGCATAAGTCTTAAGAAACTAGCAAACCTGGGGCTAATGCTAGTCCTTCAAATTTAGTACTAGGTAAATTCTGCTTACATCTAACCTACCTATATAATAGACATAAAAGTAAAGCTGGTCAGGGGGAATGGAATCCCATGCTATTTACATGTGCCAAATAGGAGTCTAAAAATATGGGGTTTCCTTTTGATTGATACAACAACTTGCTGTTTAAAGTGATAGGTTTTGAGCTATGACTGTTTACTTCTGAATGGTGTTTATTTACATACTAGAAACTGACACAGTCAGGCCCTGCTAAGTGTTGTCTTTTTGTTTTTTCAGTCTCCAGATACGCCTTCTCTAGCAAAGAAGGGCAGCATGTATAGGAGTTATCTCAACAGGGAAGGCCCACAAGCATTAGGATCAAAGGAAATACCTGAGGTGTGTTATTTACTTTAATACCTTGTATGGAATCAATGCAATAATTAATATCATCTTTTGTAGAATTTTAGTGCTTTAAATACAGCAAGAATGTACAGTATATATTCACTGAACATGGTGGATGAGGAGAACACAGTACAGCTCACAGCTATTCCCGTTGAAACAGAAAAGAAGAAAAATGTGACAAACCAGACCAGGATTTGAACCCAGGTCCTCTGGATCATTAGTCAGGTGCTCTTCCAACAGCTATCTGGCCACCAGCAATCAAACCTTTCTGACCGCCAGATCCTGAAAGCACAGGGCTCTTGGACTAAAAATCTTCTACATGGAAGTGCACTGAAAAATGTTGGCATATTTGATGTTTTGGCTTCTGTGCTGGCCTTAAATCTTGAAGCCATCTGTGTAACATGGTGTTTACAAAGAGCATCATTGTGCACCATTACAATGTAATGTATGGGTTTCTAAGAGTGTTACAGTGAATTGTATGTACTAGACAAGATGGAACAGTTTCTCTTGTATTTCCATTTCATGGTGTAACAGAGATCATTACTCCTTGTGTTTCCCCTGTGCAGTGGGAATTAAATACTAGTGCAATGTACTTCAGACCTGTTTACTCTTAAGATTTCGCCGTATTTTGTACGGATTTTGAGTCCAAAATACGTCTCAGGTTTTGCTATAATGAAAATACGGAAATCTGTCGTTTGGATTTCGGCAGTTAGTTTTTGTTATGATCTGTCGCAGTTTAACGCTTTTTAATCGCTAACAAAGAGAAGGATTTCAAACACTTCAGTGATGTCGGGTTGCCAAAACGTGGTGGTTTAAAAAATGAAAGAAAGCAAGGTATAATGGTATTGAACCATGTTTTGGTAATCGGAAATTTAGCTGTTCTCTAGTAATATATGTAAAATCGATGGAAAGTGAATCTTAAGGGCAAATGCCAAATCTCACTGACAAATCTAAATAATAATACTGAGAGACAACAATATGGGTAAACAGATCTGGTACTTTCAATTGATGGAAAAAATATTTAAATGATCTTAAAGAATTCTATTTCTAAAAAAAGAAATTTCTTTGAAATACTGTATAGGTGGACATTTTAGCGAGATGCAAATTTAGCGATTTGTCCTTAAAAATCAGTATTTAATTTTAACGAGAAGTAATTTTAGCGATTTTATGGTACATAGAAAGATAACGGTAACCTCTTATGCGCAATGAATTGTTAGCGATATTTATTTTTAGCAATCTCATCACCCTCGCTAAAAATGCCAAAATTAAATCCTTGCTAAAATATCTGCTTATACAGTACATTTAAAATGCTACTCCTCCTTCTGTTTTGGTCTGATTTCAATATAACTTGGTGCACAAGTAGACTACACTAAGTTAGGTAATTCTGTTTATCTATTGTTGATTCCAATGAACAATGTTGCCATGGTTACTAAAAGTAGAAATTTCTGTAAAATTCTCCCAAAAGGCTTCTCCTCCCACAGTTTTAGTGTGATTGCAATAAATCTTGCCACAAAAAGAGATTAAACCAAGGATCATTATTCTATATATCGCTGTTGCAAAGTTTCAAGTCCAAGTGTTAATTTTCTCTTCCATTGTATCAAGTACAAACCAGTAGAGTTACTGTCTTGTCAGAGACTTCTGGTTCTTGTTTTCATTAAATTTCTGCTTTAAAATAAAATTACATGTATGATTTTTTTTTTAGGGTGGAGAAAACTGTTTAGAGTCCTTGACCTTTGTCATAACTGGTGTATTAGAGTCAATGGAGCGTGACGAGGCCAAAAGTCTTATAGAAAGATATGGTGGGAAAGTGACTGGTAGTGTTAGTAAGAAGACAAGCTACTTGGTGGCGGGACGTGATTGCGGAGAAAGCAAACTGGCCAAGGTTTGATAAAAGAATTAATGAATTGTGCGGGTACAATGCATTTGTCTTATTATGACATTTTTAGCTCTACTGGTCAGAGACCAGAAGAGCTTATGCGATAGTAAGGTGTCCGTCCGTCTGTCTGTCTGGCCGTCCATCCGTCTGTAAACAATTTTTCAAAACGCTACTCCTCCTACAGTTTTGGTCTGATTTCAATATTACTTGGCACATAAGTAGACTACAATACATAATTCTGTGTATTGGTTTTTGATTTCAATGAACGGTGTTGCCATGGTTACTAAAAATAGAAATTTCTGTGAAAAACTTTCAAAATGCTACTCTTCCTACAGTTTTTATCTGATTTCAATATAACTTGGCATACAAGTAGACTACACTAAGAAACATAATTCTGTGTATTGGATTTTGATTTCAATGAACAGTGTTGCCATGGTTACTAAAAATAGAGATTTCTTTGAAATACTGTCAAAATGCTACTCCTACAGCTTTGGTCTGATTTCAGTATAACTTGGCACACAGTCAAGTAGACTACACTTGGATACATAATTATCTATACATGTACCAGTTTTGGATTTCAATGAACAGTGTTGCCATGGTTACTAAAAATAGAAATTTCTGTGAAACTCTTTTAAAAACCTACTCCTCCTACAGTTTTGGTCTGATTTCAATATAACTTGGCACGCGAAGTAGACTCTACTAAGATACATAATTCTGTGTATCGGTTTTTGATTTTGATGAACGGTGTTGCCATTGCTACTATAAATAGAAATTTCCTTGAAATACTTTCAAAATGCTACTCTTCCTAAAGTTTTGATCTGATTTCAGTGCAACTTGGCACACAAGTAGACTATACTATGATACAAAATTGTCTTTATTGTTTGTTTAATGATGCTGTCATGGTTGCTTAAATTGAAATTTCTGTAAAATTCTTTTAAAAGGCTACTCCTTCTACAGATTTAGTCTGATTGCATTAAATCTTAATTATACAAAAATCTCAATAAAACAAAAAAAGACTACACCAAGGATCATTATTCTATGTATTGCTGTTGCAAAGTTTCATCCAAGTGCCACTTTTAAGTACAAACCAGTAGAGCTACAGTCTCGTCAGAGACTTCTGGTTTGTCTCGCATTATGTATGATAATTAGATGCCTAATATAAAAGTTATTGTTGGTTCAGGTGCTTCTGGACAGGACTTCACTCCACTAAGTAGTAAATAACCCATTGCTGAAATCAGAGATGGGAAAAATAATATGGAGTGTGGATATATACAATATCAAAATAATTCAAAGGGTTACTCCAGGAAAAAATGTAAAGGGGGGGGGGGGGGTAAAACACTTTTTTGACCTCACCACCCTTATATTTTTCATTACCTTTTCCCCACCAACCATCAAATTCAAAAAAAACTTTATGTACAACCACCCTTCTTCATTTTTTTCTTTTTAAATTATTCATTTTTTTAAAAAAAAATTTTATCACTCTTCAAATGAAATTAAATTCTGGTGCCACCCCACCATATTTCTTTCAAGAATAGTCTTTTAGCAGTAATTAAGTATGAAAATTTTCATTGAAAGGCCTATTGTTGCCTTTGCTTGTCAATAATTCCCCCGCTCCCCCACCCCCACCCCCTGTTTGAAAAATGATGCTACTTTTCTGTTGAAATTTAATTGTATTATTTTTATTTCTTGTTATATTTTGTGAAAGGGGTGGGGGTACACTCTACACTTACTTTAGTTATATAAGGCAATGTTTTATAATGGAAGAATCTACTGAGTAAAAATTAAACCAAATTAAAAAAAATATCTAAAGGAAATCCAGCTAAACAGCTTTAAACATTGGGTACATGATATGTTAAACATGATAGGTTCCCAGGTTAAGGAGTATAATGTAACTGACGTCATACTTTATTGTATCAATAGCCATATACTCACATGGAACGTTAAACATGATAGGTTCCCAGGTTAAGGGGTATAATGTAACTGACGTCATACTTTATTGTTTCAATAGCCATATACTCCATGGAACATTAAACATGATAGGTTCCCAGGTTAAGCGGTATAATGTAACTGACGTCATACTTTATTGTTTCACTAGCCATATACTCACATGGAATGTTTAACATGATAGGTTCCCAGGTTAAGGGGTATAATGTAACTGAAGTCATACTTTATTGTTTCAATAGCCATATACTCACATGGAACCTAAAACATGATAGGTACCCAGATTAAGGGGTATTATGTAACTGACGTCATACTTTATTGTTTCAATAGCCATATACTCACATGGAACCTTAAACATGATAGGTTCCCAGATTAAGGGGTATTATGTAACTGACGTCATACTTTATTGTATCAATAGCCATATACTCACATGGAACATTAAACATGATAGGTTCCCAGGTTAAGGGGTATAATGAAACTAACGTCATACTTTATTGTTTCACTAGCCATATACTCACATGGAACATTAAACATGATAGGTTCCCAGGTTAAGGGGTATTATGAAACTGACGTCATACTTTATTGTTTCAGTAGCCATATACTCACATGGAACGTTAAACATGATAGGTTCCCAGGTTAAGGGGTATAATGTAACTGACGTCATACTTTATTGTATCAATAGCCATATACTCACATGGAACCTTAAACATGATAGGTTCCCAGGTTAAGGGGTATAATGTAACTGACGTCATACTTTATTGTTTCAATAGCCGTATACTCCATGGAACATTAAACATGATAGGTTCCCAGGTTAAGGGGTATAATGTAATGACGTCATACTTTATTGTTTCACTAGCCATATACTCACATGGAATGTTTAACATGATAGGTTCCCAGGTTAAGGGGTATAATGTAACTGACGTCATACTTTATTGTTTCAATAGCCATATACTCCATGGAACCTTAAACATGATAGGTTCCCAGGTTAAGGGGTATAATGTAACTGACGTCATACTTTATTGTTTCAATAGCCATATACTCACATGGAACATTAAACATGATAGGTTCCCAGATTAAGGGGTATTATGTAACTGACGTCATACTTTATTGTATCAATAGCCATATACTCACATGGAACATTAAACATGATAGGTTCTCAGGTTAAGGGGTATTATGTAACTGACGTCATACTTTATTGTTTCAATAGCCATATACAGTGAACCTTCAGATATCCGGACGCTTCAGTTTCCGGACGTTGTTTCACGGGAACGGAATTTTTTAATGTTATTTTGTCATGTTTATCCTGAATTCCGCGTTCCGTATCCAGACGGTCTTTTTTTCACCACAAAATGAATTTTTACGTTTTATTTTGGTTCATTTATCCGGATGGTCCTTTTGTAATTGGTATGTCAACTCTGCTAAAATTTCCTAATAAGGGTATCAATTGTTGTAAAAACACTTACCTGGCTGTTTGTTTTTAAAGATGATCACCTGCGACCTGTTATCAATGGCTTGCGACAAGGTTAATTATAGGTACGCACAAAACTCTCGCTTCTCAAACATATATTTGATACGTATTAATTAAGGAAAATAATTTTATAAGTCTATAATTTTTCGTAGTCGGCAAATATATTTCTTTTACCAGAGCTCCAGATAAGGTGCGTATTTGCAGAAATACGCATTGAATTTTACAAAATACGCATTGAAAATTAAAAGTGGGCATACAGTTACGCATTAGCAATCGCAGATAAGCATTTCACCACTAAAGTATTGCGTACTACGGGTTGAATAATAAAAGTACGACTTAGCTAACGATATGAATTGAGGTAAACTCAGTGTTTGATTTTTCTTAAAACGAAATACTGATTTAAAAGCGTTTTAATAACCAGGAATATTCTAGTTATGGCGACAACGATGATTTCCATTTATGGAGAAATAATCAAAGATATAGATTAAAATCGATTTCTTTGAATAGTAAGACTATGTACTAAGCATAGTAACGTGTTTTTAAGCACACAAAAGCTTGTGTCGTCTACATAAGATGATAGTGTAATACAAATGTTATGTGTACCTAGAAAACAAACGGTAATTGGAGGGAAAAAGTCTTAGCTGGAGAATAAAGTTTAAACTGCAATGTTATCGAAGAAGACATGATGTGTAAGAAAAAAAACCCTGTGAAGACCATATTAAAACCATATATAAAAAACCAGCTCTGTTTAATTTCAAGACCAATTAAATAAATAAATTGCTGTAGTGAGACATTACGCATAACATGTATTTGAATTTACCGATCAAGAGTTCTCTGAGATTCTCTAGAGTTTTCTGTTTAGTAAGACGGTTATACATGGTTTGTACGTAGCTTTTTTTATGATGGGTTCATTGCCAATTTCTGATTTCTCTCAACTTGCCGTTTTTAATGAAGATTTTTTTCTCTCGGTTTACTCTTGTTACCATATAATCTTAAATGGAGGAAAAGTTTTAAGTGCCTATGGTTATTTTACCCACAATATGCTCTTCCTTGTCAAAAACTATTTCAATGAATGCAGGAACTGTCCTTTGTAGTTTTTTTTTTCCTTTCCTCTTCTAAAACTCTCATATTTCGATAACAAGCTCAAAATCAAAATAGATGTCAAAACATTTATATATTAACACAATACTCTTAAATCATTTTGATAAAAATCAAAATCTGCATTGATTTGAAAATCAGAGAGTAAATACACTTTGGGGTAAAAAATTATCTGGAGCTCTGTTTACTGTTAGAATACAGTAGTAACATGGTTTTATGTATTGCTACGTATAGGCATGACATCGGAGTTTTTCCTTATGCACAGTATTTTGTCCGCAAACCGGATTCTGTGATTTGATGACATTTATAAAATCACTTTCATTATTACACAATTGTTAATTAATGCGATCTTGCTTGGGATGATAATGATAAGCATACGTATATATGTGCAGTTAATTTCACATTTAATGATAGGCCTATAGCATTGATGGGCGTTCGTATTAAATAAGACTTGTGCGACAGTTTTTTTCTCTACCAGTTCTACAGACACTTGGCTAGG